GTAGAACCACATTTCTGTTGCTTCGAATCTCTTCATCTTTGAGAAGATTCGCTGCTATACAGGAGGACAGATATCAGTAGTCTTTTCTTTGTTTCCAACGAAACTTTCCTGTCTCGTAATAATCTGCTAAGCTTTTGGAATGCATTTTTGACCATCAAATGACAATAATAAGACGTTGAATTTAGATTTTTGAAGATTGTAGTTAACAGGAAAGTAAAAGACGAAGTTATTAAAAAAAAAAAAAAAAGAACATGTGGTTACATGTTAAAATTTACAGAGTAAAATGATGAGATTTAGTTGCCAATGTAGTACTAGGCTTAAATTCATGAAGTCGTGATACCAAAGAACTAAGTTCAATAGAAAAACTGCCATGAAAAAAAATATGGGAAAGGGGAAAAAAGGGAAGTTAGAGTGGTGGGAAAGGGTTTGAATACACAGAGATGCCAGGTCGGGAACGATAATATTGCAGATTTTTATTTGGATTTTTGTCAATTTCTAAATACACAGCAGAATCTATATATCTCTCTCTCTCTCTATATATATATATAGTAACCTACTATATATATATATATATATATATATATATATATATATATATATATATAGTAACCTACTATATATATAGTAACCTAGAAAAGATTACTGAATGAGGAATAACCAAAACAGAGATTCAAAATGGTAATATTTATAACATCAACAAAATCCAATACTCGCCAGCGGCGTGAAGTAGGTAAACCACTGTTAGTGGTGAACTACTTAGACAACAGATTACCTCTACTTACAATATTGTCCAACGTATTCATGATGATTGCGACATATCTATTAGTGTTCATAGGTACGGTATATAACACCCTTTAGATTTTTTGATATCTTTGACATCTTGTCGAAAATTTATAAACCTCTGACAATCTTGGTTTTGTAAGGTCATATTGGGTTCGTTTTCAAGTTTATTTAAAACCCTTCTCCTGATTTCAGCGTCTTTTGTCGACACAAACCCTTGTACAAATATCAGTTAGTAAAGTGATTTCACCATTAATCACATTAACATTGCTATTTAATTCATTGTATAAACAGTTTCTTTTTTTTATATATATAATTTTTTTTTTTTTTTTTTTTTTTTTTTTTTTTTTAGATGTGTGTGCGTAATTCATATAGGTGGAGGGTCAAGGATGAAAAAAGAAAAAGTGGGAAGGAAGAAAAGGAAAATTTTTTTTTTTCTTTTTCTTATCCTTCGGCGAATGATTAACATGAATGAAAATAGGGGAAAAGTGTAAAAGCAGAATGTGATGCCTGAGCGCGTTTCTCTGTGTGTGTGCATGTATGTCTATATATGCCTCAATGAAAGGGATCAAATCGGTACTTAGCACTTCAAGCCAAGCAGGCAGCCATATTTCTGATCAGATAAAAATTGAGGCTGCGTTTGCTTCCTTTTTTTATGGAAGAGCGCACACTGGATTGGACAATAAATTACCAAGAGTCGCATGGTGTGTTGTTCGGAAGATGGAAAAAAATTGTAGCTAACGGAAGGTACACAAGTCGATACCCATATCAGTATCGGCTGGGTCAGCCTGAAGAGGGGGTATGATGTTGAAAAGCCCGAAACCCCTAATACATCTCGGCTAGAAACAGCACTGATGATCTGAACTAAAGCATCTGATAGATATGAGATATAGATACAATATTCAATAGTATGCCTCTGTGTATTTTAAAAACGAAAAAAAAAATTCCTTCAAGTAAAGTTCTCATTAACTTTAAAAGTAAGGTTCTTAAATCGGAGGGGTTTGCTGAAAACCCAATATTGATATTAAAGTCGATCACCTGAACTATAATTTTCAATGAAAACAAAACAAAAAACATTGTTGATATTTATAAGATTGAAGAAATGTTTAAATAATTAAGCACATTTATACAATGAATGGAAAACGCAAATCAAGAAGAAAAAGGACACGCGTTCAGAGACTAGCGAGTTGGTGACAGACAGAAATTGGTAGGAACGAATCGATAGAAAAGCTCCGAGCAATAATCGCTAACTTAAAATATTGGAATAGAAAAACGGTTCGTAAAGAACTGGTTATTGATGGAATAGGTAGGCGCTGCTGAAGGCAGACATAGTTTGGAACAAAAATTGTTGGTCGAATATGATAGCGAAAAGAGATGAGTTAAAAAAAAAAAACAGTAACAAGAAATTCTTGCAGTCAAATAATTTTAGCAAATCACTTAGAAATGATTTTGAATTATTTTTAATGAAAAAAAAATGAGTTAATTCATTATCTGCTACTTGAAACATCGTTTGAAGATGGTTAAAATCTTATATATAAAGTACATTGTGTGTATTTGTGAGTGTCCAAGCAACTCCTCCGCTCTCACTGGTCTGATTTCAATGATTCATAGCTCATTCAAAAGCCCGAGAAAAGTTAAGCAGAGGGAACGATTTTCCTTGAGCTCAGATTCAGGGTTACCAGATTTTGCGAAGTGAAAAATATATATTAATATATTATACTAGCCATTATCGTTGCTTTCATGATTCAAAAGGAGTAACTCTTATTTTCCTTTTGTATCCAAAATTGCAATGCACATTTTATTATAAACTAAGTTGGTTTAATATGGAGAGCCCGTGCGGGTACACTCGGGCTAGGAACAAAAATTGCCCGCAGCCCCCGAAACCGTCGGTTGCACAGGCCTCGGTGCAGACACCGATCCCTCTTTCTGGTGCAATGAGAGGGCGCGGCCTCGGACATTTGTTCCCCAGGACTGGGCATCTCTTAGTAAAATTGTCCTTAGTTACGACTCTGTCCTTTGACGTAACCGCCACTTAGTAAACCCTGCCCAATGACAGAGACGCAACTGAGAATAAATAAACGCGTTACACTACTCAAGAGCAATTTACACAAGAGATTTATTTGCATAAATACAAAAATGTGGCACAAGGACGAAATGGGAGGGGGTGAGATGAGGCTGGTCATCATTGTTATCCTATACCTAGCTAATCCGATTCGTGACCCATTCACTCGTTACAATTTACTACATTCGCCAAAAGAACCTGTCCGTTATCTATCAGTCAATCAATCAATCAATCCTACAATCACCATAATATCTCATACACTCGTACAAAAACGCACCCCCATGACATGAAAAATTGAAAATTCCATGAATTTAAAAAAAAAAAAAAAATTACGAATGATGGGAAGATGATCGTACCAAACAAACGAAAATGTAAAACAAACAAAAGAAACAAAACTTACGTTAGTTGGACCGGCCTACCTCTCAAAAAAGATAGGTCGCTGTATTCTGCCTTAGGGACAAAATCAACGGGCTCTCTAGCTAACGGAGAGGAAAAAAGGATAAAATAAATATGGCCATGATGGGGAGGAAGGCTGATGCAGTTGAGATGAAAAGAGGAGGGTCCCAAAAAGAAAATGAGAAGCTAGGAATCTTGACATGGCTTATAACAAAAGATCTGGCCGGGAACAGCACTTACTCACATTAACTAGGTACACAAAAAGTGGTTCAACTTAACCAGGGGAGGTTTCACAGAAAACCTCGCCGATGTGACGTAGGTGGACCTAAAAGAGAAAATCAAGGCTAGGAAACCGCCCCGATGTGACGTAGGTGGACAAAAAAAGAAAAACCTTGGCTAGAAACTTTTTTGATGTGACGTAGGTAGACCTAAAAGAGAAAAACCAAGGCTATCCCCGTTCATACGAATCAAGCCGCCTCAATCCCCTACCACTCACTGAAGGCTGTCGAAAACAGTCGTTTCCTATCAGTTCTAAGCTTCATCTTGAGCTGGTGCCCAAAGAATCATGATGCGAAAGTCTTCCTCCTGTCACGTTGTCCAAATCGCAATTCGGACCGTGGTCAGCAGCGATTTACACATGAGGTTTTTACTCTGTCTCATCACCAAGACGAGTTGTGACACAAGGTCACTTTTTAAGGTGGTAACCCAAGCTCGGACACCCTGATTAGGAACAAAAATTATAATCCCGTTTTGTATATATATATATATATATATATATATATATATATATATATATATATGCAGTGGTTTTCTAAGCGCTGCTTAGATGTGGCACAAGGCCGAAAGTATGGAGCACCCACTGAGGATCGAACACGCTACTCAATCGTAATTGTTGAGATTACATCACGCGGAAGTGCCACACACATTATATATATATTATATTACTATGCGGATCCCTGTACTCTTCACTATCAGTCAGTTATGTGCCATCTTTTTCTTTCTACGCCATCCGGTCTCTCCTATTTACCCAAGTAATTCATACCTTTTCCTAAGTGTATTAACTCATAAGTGAATATAATGGATTCGACTGGAATTCGAACTCGGCTCTCCGATTCCTTAATTCGAGCCGCTATCTATTACTCCACCGTGCTTCCCACTGTTCACTATACTGATCGCAATATATATTACTATTATTATCGTGCAAGTACTATTAGTGCGAGGGACATCACAAAAACCGTGCAGTCAGTATTCACGACTTACTATAGGAAGCCATCACCACTGCGAAAATGATCGTTGGTTTGCCCAATGCTAGATAATGTTTATAGTCATAACGCAATGTTTCCCGTATTAGCATAGCTGATTAGTCATATTGGGTAGTGAGTTTGATCCGCACTATGTGCTCTGTACTAATTTCTTTACGCTTGTCGTTTTATTGCATTTTACTTTTTATTCCCAGCCGGTGTCAGTGTCCGTACCCTGCTAAATGTTATTATTTCAAATGTTAATTAGCTAGACAGGCACAAATTCCTCGTTAAGGATACCGGCGCAACACATTCTTCTCTGTTTTGTCTTTGTGTTGTACTATAGTCAGCTTATGAAAATATATGAAGAAAGAAGGCAAGTTAACGAGTGGTGAAAGGGTCCATTTGTCTCTCTCTCTCTCTCTCTCTCTGAAATATTCCTCTCCCCGATGCTATTAATCTTCAATGACCTTTGCTGACAACAGTTGGAAAAATTCCCCACTTCCTCCTCCTTAGTAGCAATGGTTGATGTCTGGACGATCGACTCGTTCCCGCCATTAGATGCTTTACAAGAGGGATGGACGTGCTTGTTGTCAGAACAATGGCTTCGTGTAATAAGACAATCAATGCATTGTGCTTTGGCCAACGCCTTTTAAGGTTATACTGAAAGAAGCGCTATGTGCGTGCGTGCGCACACACACATACACACACATTGGTCTGATCAAGTTTCCGTGTTCATTTCGGTGATTGAGCATTGGTTAATTCACTTACCTCAGCGTCTCTGTAATAGCTGTCATGCACGCACTGATAAATGGTTCTTTATAGTTCAAGAGGAAGCGCGTGTGCAACCTGCACTGGAGAGTCGAACGATGTAGTATCGTTATGGCAATTACTTTTCTTGCTTTTCTGTACAGGATTCAGAGCAAACATCCCTGAATGTTCTTGCGACGTTGAGGATAGGTTATATTTTTTGGTTGCAGGTATGTAACGTTGCGGGTAAGTTACACATGCGGTAACGTTGAAAATCCGTTACTTTCCAGAAGACCCGCTATAGTAAAGCAGCAAAGTTGAAATATAACGTACTGCTTAATTACAATATCAGTATAGTCTTCATACATTTACTTATCTATCTATCTATCTATCTCTTTCTTCTGTCTATCGTTCACTCCTCGCTCTTTACTCTCACTCTTTCTCACTGTTTACTCTCACTCTTTCTCACTGTTTACTCTCACTCTTTCTCACTGTTTACTCTCACTCTTTCTCACTGTTTACTCTCACTCTTTCTCACTGTTTACTCTCACTCTTTCTCACTGTTTACTCTCACTCTTTCTCACTGTTTACTCTCACTCTTTCTCACTGTTTACTCTCACTCTTTCTCCTGTTTACTCTCCTCTTTCTCTGTTTACTCTCCTCTTTCTCACTGTTTACTCTCCTCTTTCTCGCTTCACTTTCTCTCTCTCTCTCTAACACTTTACTCTCTCTCCTCTTTCTCTCTCTCTCTCTCGCTAACACTTTACTCTCTCTCTCTCTCTCGCTCTCTTCATTCTCTCTCTCTCTCAATCAACACTTTACTCTCTCTCTCTCTCTCTTTTTTCTCTCTCTCTCTCTCTATCATTTAACACTTTTCTCTCTCTCTCTCTCATTCTTCTCTCTCTCTCTCTCTCATTCTTCTCTCTCTCTCTCATTCTTTCTCTCTCTCTCTCTCTCTCTCTCTTTCTTTCTCTCTCTCTCTCTCTCATTCTTTCTCTCTCTCTCTCTCATTCTTCTCTCTCTCTCTCTCATTCTTCTCTCTCTCTCTCATTCTCCTCTCTCTCTCTCTCTCATTCTTTTCTCTCTCTCTCTCTCTCTTCTCATCTCTCTCTCTCTCTCATTCTTTACTCTCTTCTTCTCTCTCTCATTCTCTACTCTCTCTCTCATTCTCTCTCTCTCTTCTCTTTCTCTCTCTCTCTCTTTCTTTTTCTCTCTCTCTCTTTCTCTTTTTCTCTCTCTCTCTCTCTTCTCTTTTTCTCTCTCTCTCTCTCTTTTTTTCTCTCTCTCTCTCTTTCTTTTTTTTTCTCTCTCTCTCTCTCTTTCTCTTTTTTTCTCTCTCTCTCTTTCTCTTTTTCTCTCTCTCTCTCTTTTCTCTTTTCTCTCTCTCTCTCTTCTCTCTCTCTCTTCTTCTCTCTCTCTTTCTCTCTCTCTTTCTTTTTTCTCTCTCTCTCTTTCTCTCTCTCTTTCTCTTTCTCTCTCTTTATCTCTCTCTCCTCTATCTCTCCATTGGTCTTCTCTTTCTCTCTCTCTCTGTCGCTCCTTCCTCCCTCTCTGTCGCTCCTTCCTCCCTCTCTGTCGCTCCTTTCTCCCTCTCTGTCGCTCCTTCCTCCCTCTCTGTCGCTCCTTCCTCCACCTCTCTATACCTACATTCTCACCGCTCTATACCTACATTCTCACCTCTCTCTCTCTCTCTATCATTCTCATCATCTCTCTCTTCATTCTCTCTCTCTCTTATCATTCTCTCTCTCTCTCTATCTTTTCACCTCTCTCTCTCTCTCATTCTCACTCTCTCTCTCTCTCTCTATCATTCTCCTCTCTCTCTCTCTATCATTCTCACCTCTCTCTCTCTCTATCATTTCTCACCTCTCTCTCTCTCTATCATTCTCTTCTCTCTCTCTCTCATCATTTCTCTCTCTCTATCATTCTCTCTCTCTATCATTCTCACCTTTCTCTCTCTCTATCATTCTCACCTTTCTCTCTCTCTATCATTCTCACCTTTCTCTCTCTCTATCATTCTCACCTTTCTCTCTCTCTATCATTCTCACCTTTCTCTCTCACTATCATTAGCATATATATATATATATATATATATCACCGGTTCTTTCTACCAAAACCATTTTTTTGTTGACGCAGCTAATCAGTGGCTGAGGCATTCCTTTATGTGTCAACCAGGTCGGCATGTCGCTGGCTACTGCATACTGCTTGTAATAAGGAGCTTGTACTCTCTGATAGATCTTTGCGAGGCTGCTCTGATCAACAGTTGTATAATATCGGGTTTTACAGCGCCAAGCAAGTTCGAATATTGCCATAGCATTAACAGGGAATATGTCTGATCATGCAAACACATGGTAGAACACGAAGATGCCTATGCAGAAGTTATATATGTTTGTTATGTTAATTTAATCCAAGACAACAGTGCGTCCTGGGTATGACGATAAACTACGTCCAACAGCAAGGCCTCTGAGAATACGTTTTTTGTTTTTTTAAATATTACTAGCTATACATATTTTTGGAAAGAATAGTGTTGCCAGCCATACGTTTTTGAAAGAATAATATTACCAGCCATACTTTTTTTTTTTTTTTTTTTTTTTTTTTTTGACAAAACACAAAACAAAAATATTACCAGGAAAAAAAAAAGTTGTCGGCATTAAATGACCCATTGAGGTTGATATACCGTAAAACAAACCAAACCAAACCAAAATAGCAATGAATATTACTGAAATATTCATTGCAAATGCAAAGAAATGGCCGCAGCATGGGACCTTATTTAAATAATGTGACCCTGCACAATGTGACCACGAACACAACAAAATTTCGACGTTCTCTCAGAGGAAAAAAACTCCAAGAATGAAGTCAAATATCTACAAACAGAAATAAATAAAATTGACGAAAAATATAATTCTCAAATTTACCAGGAAATATTAAATAATATTTCTAAAGATTTCAATAATTTCTTTTTATTCCGAAATTTGTATTACTTCAAACATTATTTTATTTCTTAGTGGATACCTGCGTTTGAAATAGACGTCCCTTTTTTAAAAAAATTCTTTTTTTAAACAGTGTGTATTACTATATCGGCTCGCTTACTCGAGAACATTTTTGTGTGTGACAAGAGACAAAGAATTATGAAAAATTACCTGCGCCTCTCAAAAGGGATAAACTGGATTTTTTTTTTGTTTGTTTGTTTTTTTAACTTGACATTGGGGAGTGGGCCAGAAAGAACTTTTAGCACATCCCTCGTTGGCAACAAGAGCTCATCCTGCTATATATTTAAAGATTCTTGATAAAACCGAAAGAAGAATCTACAATATTATTGGTTCTAACCTGGCATCTCGGCTTCAGGCACTTACGTAACTGCCGTAATATAGCGTCCCTGTACCATTCATGGTAATTGTTCTGATGAACTTTCCTCTGTGGTAGTTAGACTTTATGAATTTAATTGCAGTACTAGATTGGCAACAAGGTCTCATCCTTTTACAGTTGAATTGGCAAGATGGAACCATAATTTCTTTGCTAACAGTTTCTTTCCTTGAACTTCACACCTGTGAAACTCTCTTCCGGCTTTCTGCTTTCCAGCCAACTTTGCATTTAGATTTTTGAAGATCAATGTCAATCGTTATTTACTGTCTTTTTTTTTTATTATTCCTTTTCTTTTATTGTTCTCGTGCTTTAATATTTTTTTCTTTATTCTTTTACACTTGGTAAGGTCTTATGGCTTTATTGCCTTGCTAGGGGTTATATGATTAAAAGAACTATGCAGTGTCCGCCAGATATTTGAAAACAAACTATCATAAAAAATAACAAAATTCATCGACAAAAAAAAAATAACCTGTATATTAAAAAAAAATAAATAATAAATAAATTGTATACATACGTATCTCGGTTATTTGGTCTCGGAGATAACTCGGAAACGACTGCGCGCCCGAATCAGCTTTTTTCCTATGTTGATACATGTTCAAGAGTAATGAGAATTTTAAATTTTGACTGACACTGCGTAACATTAGGTTAGGACATCTGTCATTTATGGGCCGTTAAACCTAGGTTCTCAAATACTTGGCTCACCATATCAAGGCTGATGTGTATTACCTCTTAACCCTCCGTGGTGGGGAAAGCCTGGTTGGGGGCCCCGGACTGTGCTTTTAGACCCAGGCTATCTTATCAACATTTTCTTTTTTTTTCCGTATTATACGTTACAAATTAAACTAAGCACAACTGACAATTAAAGTATGAAATCTTTTAACGGTTTTTAACATAATTCTGAAGTGTTTTTTTTTTTTTTTTTTTTTTTTTTGTGGTGGGGGGTCATCCAAAACTGAGTTTGTTTTGCCCAAGCCAAGTCTCAAAAAACACTATTAAAAATTCACTATTTTTATCCTTAATTTTGACTGTGTTAAAATTATTCAACTTTTTAACAAGAAAAATCTCTTGTTGACGTTAAAATTATCGCAAAACATTCTTGATTTGCGTAAGATGGAACGATCTATTATGACATGTCTCTAATTTTTATTTAGACACGTTGTATTTATTTTTAATTTTTCTAGTTGAATTGTTCACCTATATTGTATATAATCCACTATTGTACGTAATTAGGTTACAATTGAATAATATGTGTATTTTATATGACTACGATCTTATGAAAATTGTGATGTAGAAGATGATCTCGTATCATAGATTCAGCGATGGGAGGGCACGAGACTCTTTCTCTGATCCTGCACCATATACAAACTGATGCCCTTCAGTATCACACTAAATCTCCTACATATTTGCTATACTTTAAGTTCAATTCGATCTGACTCCGATTCTCATTGCGGAAGGAACATTATCTTATGTTCACTACCAGAGGACAATTTTGAAATCTGACTGTAAACCCCAACTCTATAATAGCCAAATGAAGTAACAACATTAGCTAAGATGGAAAGGGAGACGGATAGTGGGGAAAGACAAACGGCCCCAAATCAAACATCACAAGACTGGAAAGGCTGGCAATCAGAACCCTACAGAGGAATGAAAACGTCATCATACCTACCAGTTGACAAAGGTAATGTGACTGTCGTGATGGACAAATCGGAATATACAGGAAAGCTGGAATACTTTATTAAAAATTGTACCTACAGTAAAGTCAGAGCCAACAATGAACACAGAATGAAAAACTAATCAACAACAAGGACCATTTCCCAACTAAGACATACAGGTAATTGTCGCTGCGTTACAACAAGCTACCTCACATATACGGTTTCCTTAAAATTCACAAAGACGGTATTCCGCTCAGGTCGATTGTTAGTTGCCAAGGCTCTGTGTGCTAGTTGGAGCCGCTTCCTTTTACATATAATTGACCCATTAATAGTAAAATCTCCATATGTCCGAAGCTCCGTTCACTTCGTAAAAGTAATCAAAGATGCTCCCATTCAATGCAACCAGATGGTGAGCCTAGACGTGGTGAGTTTGTTCACCAAGGTACCTACGGGGGAGGCACTCTCGGCAGTCAGATTGGCTTCGCACTCAACCCTAAGAGAACGGACCAGTATACCAATACATACCCTGATGGAGATTCTGACTTTCTTTATATAAATAACGAACGTAGGAATGGGATCAGACATATATTGATAGGATGAAGGTTTAGCTATAGTTTCGCCATTATTACCAGCAATGGCAAACATATACATGGAAGACTTCGAAGAAAGGGCATTAGAATCTACACCACTAAAGCCAACCTTATAGCTGAGATATGTAGATGACATCCTACTCTGTCCACACCGGGAAGAGGTCCAGCTACTAGTGGACCATATGAACCTAATAAGATCATTGATATAGTTTACAATAGAGAGAGAAAACTACAAAATCACTCGCATTCCTGGATGTATTAATATCTCGAACAGAGCATGAGTTCAAGACATTTGTATACCACAAGCCAATATTCACCGGACAATACTTCAACTCCACCATCCATACAGGGTAAAGAAAGGTGTTGTTTTTTTGCTTTTTTTTTTTTATTTTTTTGGCGCGCACAGATGATAATGTATCTGAAAGAGCCAAGCTCAAGATGACTTGTGATCGGCACTATAATAAAAAAAAAATCAACTACCAATCATTAGTTATCCCTTGGTTGATAGTCAATGTGTTAATCTTATTGTTATAAGCAAACTTCACTGGAAAGCCAACATTCGAAATCCTGTATAAAGTTTTCATTTGAACGTCTCCTAGCTGTGCCGGTTGGAAATCTTTAACGATTCCGAACAGCAAACCAACCATGTTTTTAAAATATATTTTAGCTGTTTAACGAAAAAGATCTATACTGTCTGTGCGACCTTTTGCAGTTATTCTTAAATCTTGCATATCAAAAATTTAAAAGAAAAAATAAACCACTTCAATTTGATTTATTGCTTCTACCTGTTCAATTTCTGCAACGTTTACAGAGAAACACACTCAACAGAAGTTTATCGTAGATTTATTTTATTTTAATTAAGTTAGTCGCAAAGAGAATAAAGTTGATATTCATTAGGTTTGATGCATTCGAGTGCGATAATTCTTTCTGCCGTTTTTAAGAGAATTGGAAACTTGAGATTTCTATTGCGTTGGCGAAGACGTTCGTTCGGTAAGAATATGGTATTGTTTTTCAAATTAACTTCCAAAAACAAAATCTTGGATAACTTCGAAAGTTCATTTTGTTTATGAATTAAAAATAAATTGCCTTTTTATTTTTTGATTTTTTTTTTTTCTTTCTTTTCGAGATTAAGTTGTATTGAACAGCATACTGGATGACATACATTTCCTTTTCAGTACATATTCTCTCATGAAAGTGTTGTCAATATCGCGGTTAAATTTGAAACTGAGAAACTGTGTAGGATTTGTTAGGAAAAAAGGTCAATTACGCTTATAAAATATTTGGTCATGGAGATACTGGTAAAGGTTCATTTGGATTTTAGCTCAGCATTAAGTAGTCAAAAAGATTTAATACGTTTTAGTATTTAGTGATTTTAAAAAGACAGTAAAGCTTCATTAAGGCATAAGCTAGGTATTGCACTGAGAATTCAAGATATATACATTATTTATATTTGGTCAAAAAGATGGTGCAGTATTTAATATCCTGAAACAGGTACCAACCTCAAGTGGTCTACGCGATCGCTAAAT